GTTGAGCTTTACAATTTGACTATACTTGCCGAAGTAAACAGATCATACGATGGTTTATTAAATACGTAGATATCTCCCACCTTCAATCCTCATTTTCTGAATCTCATCTCCTCTCTTGTTTTCTTTTTCGCTTTGTTTTTGTTTATACCTCCGCTTTAGCTCAATCTTCTCAAGATGGCATCTGCGGCAGCTTTGACAGCTTCTGCTGCATTGAAATCTCGAGTTAGGAGACCATCTTTGCTTAAGAAGCTTGCCCATCCTCAAGATTTGATCCCTTTGTTCCCCAATGGAGCTTACATTGGATGGTCTGGGTTCACGGGTGTTGGATATCCTAAGTAAGTAACAATTGCAGTTGTATTGCGGTGCTTGTCCAGAGAGGGGTCAAACGATGGCACATGATTGATTCAGCTGGATACCAATACTGACCGAAACCGTGTAGGAAGATCCCAACAATGCTCGCAGATCACGTAGAGAAGAACAACTTACAGGGCAAGCTCAAGTACTCCCTTTTCGTAGGTGCAAGTTCTGGAGCGGAAACGGAAAATCGATGGGCAGAATTGAATATGATCGAACGACGAAGTCCTCATCAGGTCGGAAAGGCTATTGCAAAGGGCATCAACAATGGCAACATCAATTTCTTCGACAAACATCTGTCTATGTTTCCTGTAGATTTGGTTTATGGATTTTACACAAAAGATCGTCCCAACAAAAAGCTGGATGTGGTTATTGTTGAAGCTACAGCTATTACCGAAGATGGCGGTATTATTCCAGGAGCTTCCGTTGGAGCGTCACCAGAATTGATTCAAATGGCGGACAAGATCATTGTTGAAGTCAATACCTCTATGCCTTCTTTTGAGGGACTTCACGATATCACCATGACCGAGCTTCCACCAAAGCGGAAACCATACCTGATCATGGCACCAGAGGACCGTATTGGAACAACCGCAATCCCTGTTGATAGCGAGAAGATTGTTGCCATCATCGAATCTGATTATCAAGATCAAACTGTACCAAATGCGCCAGAAGATGCTACATCGCGTGCAATTGCTGCTCATTTGATTGAATTCCTTGAGCACGAAGTGAAGCATGACCGACTTCCCAAGAACCTACTCCCAATTCAGTCCGGTATTGGAAACATTGCCAACGCTGTCATCGGTGGTTTGGCCGAATCTAACTTCAGGAACCTCAAAGTCTGGACAGAGGTGCTTCAAGATACCTTCCTTGACCTTTTCGATTCTGGACGTTTAGACTTTGCAACCGCAACCTCTATTCGTTTCTCCCCAGATGGTTTCAAGCGCTTCTACGATGGATGGGAGCAATACTTCGATAAACTTTTGCTTCGCTCACAGCAAGTCTCTAACTCCCCTGAGATCATCAGAAGACTGGGAGTTATCGGAATGAACACACCAGTTGAGGTCGATATCTACGCACATGCAAACAGCACAAATGTCATGGGCTCTCGCATGTTGAACGGCCTCGGTGGCTCAGCTGATTTCCTCCGTTCTTCTAAATACAGTATCATGCACACACCATCTACTAGGCCATCTAAGACTGATGCTCACGGTGTTTCTTGCATCGTTCCTATGTGCACACACGTCGATCAAACCGAGCATGATTTGGATGTTGTCGTTACTGAACAAGGTCTTGCTGATGTCCGAGGATTAAGTCCAAAAGAGCGAGCCAAGGTCATCATTGAAAAGTGCTCTCACCCAGATTATAAGCCAATCTTGGAAGATTATTTCAGAAAGGCCGAGTTCGAGTGTATGAGAAGAGGCTGGGGTCACGAGCCCCATCTATTGTGGAACAGCTTCGACATGCACAAGGCATTTGATCAAGAGGGAAGCATGAAGGCACTTAAGACTTGGGGTTAGATAGTGTATTAAAAAAACGAGATTACGTGGCGGGGAGATGTAGATATTGGAATACTGGAGCACGGCATATATCATTGTGGGCTTACTGGAACGGGGCGCACATGAGGATAGATTTATACATTAAATCAAAAGGCATTTCACAGCGGTTTTTCTTCTTTATACGGTGGATCATTTACGTGATAGAACACCAACATCCAATGCCGTCGTTCTAAAGACTAGATTACCCACTCGTACCAGAGCATTGAGCCTCTAAACTAATGAATAGACCGACAAAGATTTATACTGGCATTTTGGAATCGAATTAATCGATGCCAAATCCAGTATCTGCAATTCAAGAACCGGCTACCCGCTCCTAACTGAGCACCTGATACTAAACCAACGATAATGACCAAAAAATGCGCGTGCTGGCTCCTTGCTTCAAGTGATGGAAGCGGGCTAGACGGCCAAATACGATATAAGAATATTCTATAAACTAAACGCTCAATCTAAAAAGTACTTGATCTAGCGTTGGGCTTTTTCGATCCCGAGAAAGTTGTTGGTATTTGGGAGCCAGAGCTAGAGCCATTTCGCTCACCTCTCGCTGTCTTTGTCATTTATTAGCAAGTACTACTTGTCTGTAGGGGGTATGGTGGACATACAACTTTGGCTACGTTCTCGTTCTCTCTTTGAAGACTACTTCGTAGGCAGTGCTTTACGATCGACACTTTCTGACTTTCGCTTTTATCCAGCGCGTTATCAGTGGGTTGACCTTGGAAATGTTCGGCGGCGGAGGGCATCTTGACTTCGAAATGCAGTTCTGTTGCAAATGTTTCAGATTTTTCGTGGTTAGAATGTTGAGCTGTTCTTGAATAAGAGAGTGATTCGGGATACTTTTCTGGAATTGATATGCTAAGATATGTTGGCTTTTATCTCTCAAATTATTTAGTTGTGAAACAAAGGAATGATGTGGAGGAAGCAGCCCTTGAGTTGACTTTTCACGGAGAAGAAACTCAGTCATAGTTGCTGGAAGACAGTCACAACAATGAAACTCTTCCACAGTCATTCATTTTGGACCGAATTGCTCAACTCATGCTGGAATATATAGGTGTTGTCATTCACGCTCTATTGGTCTCCCCCATATCGATCGATGATGCGTAGATATATATGACTCGATTGTCTATGCGAGTGTAACAAAGCTGCGAATTTTCGTTCTTCCCATGGGTTCCTGGCAGATGTACGGGCTTCAAATACATAACAATGATATCTTATAGAAGTCAAACTATGGACATAAAATTTATGACTCGCGCGCTTGAATATTTGGATCTTATTCATGCAATAAATCTAGCCATTCCAATGCCAAAGCAGAAGTATGCAAGTAAACGTGAACTGATGTGGCATTACTAAGACCTCACGATGTGTGATTTTTATTGACTATGTTTGAGATTCACGCTGTAACATTCCATCCTATATCTTGCTAGCTCCTGATTCTTGAGTCCAAATAATCTTCTTAAAATGTCGACCTGGTGGACCCATTACAAGAATAACCCTAAGTAATTCGGTCTTCAATTTAGTAACCCGACTCAACCAGCCTATTTTTTCCAAGACATATGTTCCACAACCCCAAGCTTGTGATGCTGTTTAATGGACTACCTTCAGTCTTTACCATCGATTAGCCTGCGGCGTCTGTGAGAATTTAGAGCATCTTGATTTGGCTTTTATGGGAGAAACACTTACAAAGAATAGTTATATCTATGACTTAAGCTTGTTGACGCTTTCAGAAAGCTCTTTGACCGACGTCTGTAGTTCAAGGATGGGTTTCTCTGCAATATCAAGTCTTTCCTGTGCTTGTTGAAGTTCTTTGAAATGGGCCCTCAACCACTTGAGATCTTTTAATTGTTCATCTGTGGCATTTGCAAAACGTCCCTTCTCAGGCATGATGGTGATTCTTGAATCGAAGAATGAAATAGAAAGGAGTTGGTGGTTGGTAAATTGGTAAGATGCTCGTGGCACTATGCTTGGTGGTGTGATTGCTTAATTCCAGTTCGACTGTGGGAATTGGAGCTTGATATGGTGGTTGGTGTTACTTGCTTAAGTTTGGGTGCTCAAAGAGAATTTGTACCTCTCTTATGGCAGATTACCATGAATGCCCGCTATTCTGTGTAATTAAATACTACAATTTGTGGAATCATACACCTTGACAATTTATGGGCAGAGGAAATTCACTCGCTGTGGGCAATGAACTTTGAACAGCATCACTGAGCAGTTTCTGATCGGCTTGTACATACACAGTGGTCTTGGTGACGGGAAGATCAGAAAAGTTATGTACCTTTTATTCTCATTTCCAAACTTCTTTGAACTTAATTCTTGTATGCAATTGTAAATTCAATATCAACAATTCATTCTTCCAAAACATAATCCACAAAATATATCTTGTTTAATCTTAAAGCCGTCCAAAAGTTGTTCAGACAACCAAAATTCAGAGTAACGTCACAAAGTCTGCAATTGGCCTTGTTGAGTATATAGCTATCAGCGAAAAAGCTACTGTGCTTGTAGATAATTTTCTAGCTTGCTGGCTTCGTTCAACAGCTGGAAGTCGGTGCTGCTGACTGGCTAGTTGGCCGACTACTCTGTTTGTTAACCCTGGCACGAAATTCTGAATATACACAGTCACTTGGTAAGTCATGATAAGTGAAATTGGAGGCTGGAAGATGATAAATGCTCGAAAATTTACGTTGTTTGATTGGAAAATGTATATTGCAATTGTCCCACTAACTCATGGTTTCAGGTCGCCGGGACTTCCACGAAATGACAATTCGTCCTTGACCAAATTCGAATAATCTAGGCTGCAGCCAAGTTATGGGATTCCTTCCACGAAACGTAATGAGTTTGCCTCTATGTAGTCCTGTACACTCGATCCTTCCCAAATACAACGCTCACCAAAGGTTTCCCGTACGTTGAGTTACCAATTCCTACACAAGCACGCCATCATGGTACATTGGTCCTCAATTACCTATTCCCCTAGGTAGTAACACAATCTTGATTGTTGTCAAAATCTCCCAATCGACTGTCAAAGTATGCAAGCTCCTAACGATCTGAAGTTGTTGTTGATCCGCTCAGACTCCAGTCTTGACCACCCGCACGTGGGGCCGGTCACTTCGAACGATAAATCGCGCTCTCGAGCTGCCTGATCCGTCTTTCAAAGTCTTGATTGACTTCCTTCAATTCGTTTTCAAGTAATTTGACCTTATTCTTCAAATTCTCGATTGTCTGCGTGTCTGTACTTCTGGATAACTGGGCTTCTTCCTGGGATTTCGAAAGATTGTTGACGAGTGTCGACACTTTCTGTAGTAGAGTCCACGCCGAAGAGATGTTCATCTTCGGCAAAGTCTTGGATTCTTTTTCAGGCATGGTGTTATTTCGATTTGAAATACTATGAGAATGGTGAGCAGGCTATTTAGCTTCGTTGACTAAGTCATAGACTTACCTTGATCTGAGGTAGTATTGCTGGATGTATTGTTCCTGTGTTTGTGAAGTTTGCAGGTTATTATATGGTTCTGTGTTTATTTGTGAGGAAATTATCTGTTTAAGAAACATGTGGCAAGCTTTATGGATGTTCAATGTGCTAATGCTGTGAATGAATCTCATTACTGGATGGGCTGTTCACGATAGAGTGGAAATGACTCTCATATAGTTTTCAGCCACCAAATGACCTGCGGGGATAGTCATTCACTCAAAGTTATTAAAAGCATCCTTGTGATAGCGAGAGCTGGGAGGTGTGAAGCAGTGTTCTGGCATTGCCAAAGTAGATATGTATTAAAATATCCCCTTTGAGTGGTATAAAGAAGTCAGAAAATACTAGATACTGTAGAAATTTGCAGTCAATTTGTTATTCAGGAAAGGTATTATTCGAGGTTGTAGTCCTGACACAGAATCATTAGCCTGGTGGTATTGTAGTAAATACAGATCTAAAGACGGTCACGGCTTGATTTATCTCATAAAACTACACCCGAGATTGCCAGTATTTCCCGAGGGTTAGCAAAATTCAGGTTATCAGGTAAAGAGCCTTGAACTTTAGATATTTCTCACACATATCAAAGGCATGTCGTCGTCCCTCTTAGAGAATCTACTTTCCCCTAGTCACATTATGTTCGTGGTATTTGGGAACGTTACAAGAAAATGGTGTACTCATATTCTTATAGAAGCCTACAAGAAAGCAAAAAGCACCAAATTTGAAGTTCCAAGGAATACATATGCCAGAAACTGGTGGCATCGGCAGTCCCATTGCCACCAACACTTCGTGATAACATCCGTACTCCACTCGACAATCTACATCAGCCCACATCTCCTGAACCAGCATTCAGCTTCCTCAGCCTATGAGAAAGTGTCAGTAGTGTCTTTTGGAATCTGCTTCACGAAAACCACTCACTTTAGTCTGCTCCTCGCATGCAGTTGCTGACCTTACTTTCCCAAGAGGCAGTGGCATTTCATCGAAGGTCTTGGCCGCCCCCATACTCTTCACCAAGCCCTGTAAGTCCTCATCGCTGCTAACTTCTTCCACAAATCTGGATGTTCGACCTTTTGCTATAACTCCAGAATGAAAGGTTTGTGGCTGCGCAGCTGGACTGGAAATGATAGAAGAGCTTCTAAGCATCGTATTTCGAGGCAGACAAGGGTTTCGCGGTGCTGTGGATGTATTTTTGCGGGTTCCCTCTGCAGCTTTTCCCTCTTCACGATTCATCGTTTCGGGGAAATCTACTTCCAAAGATTTGGGCATGATGCGAATGAAAATTGAATGTATATTTCAGCAATATTGTTGTGACTGGAGCCCCGCTATATATTGTCACAAAACATTCTTTGATTGACTCTAATCATTTAAGCCACCTTCTAAGAATGCTCCAGAATTGGATAGACATGTCTTTCGAATAAAGGTTTCAATGACAGATGAGGATCGAGCTTCCAAATTTTCAGAAACTGGTCTTACTGCTAGAAACTTCCTGATCTATCTGTCTTTGTTGTCGAAACTCCGTGCGACGGAATTCAGCATTGTTGCTTGGTTCATATCTTCACATCCAGAAATTCAGAGACACCATCAAACCAAGGTGTTGGCCCACTGTGGAGGAAGTGTTTCAAAGAAGCAGCCTGGATAACAAGCGCATTAAAATATCAGTATTCATGTAAGTGCACCCGAAGATTATGAAGCACGGACAAATGTGCGTGATTACAATGAAAGCAATAGTAGTTGAATGAAGATATGCTTTTTTAGACTAATAAAAATATCTCCGGAAAGGAAGCCTGCTTCTTGTAATGATGACTACTAACTCGGTTATTATACCTGGCGATGTGACTGATGAAATTAAAGTCGCCCGCTTAAGAATATACCGCCAACTCTCACGCCAATTGTTGCTTTGCCTTCGAATTCCAAAATCCTGATTTGTACCTTCGAAGTTGCAATAACCCCCATTAAATCCCCATCTAGACCTCCATGCATGTTTTTCTCAAACTAAGCTCCGGAACAATGCTCCATTCCCTTAAACATCAACTCGATCATATCCTTCTTGTCTTGAAAGTTAATTAGCAACTGGCAACTTCTCGAATGCTCCGTGTACTACTTACTGATAATTGCCCGTTTCTTGGCAACGTGACCTTTCTTTGTGACGCCAGGACCCACTCTTTCTACATGATTATTAGCGAGATCTCCTTATAACATTCGTATGAATGGACTTGTAGTGCCAGCAACGACTTACCCAATTGCGCTCACATTATTCTCGCCATGGAATAATTTAGGAATTTTGCTCTTAATCGAGAATTGTGAAATGGGTAGATTGGAAAGAGAATCACCATGTCTTGGCACAGGGTCTGATTCTAGTGATTAGAGACCAAGCGTTAGTGAAAGACCAGTAAAACACAAGTTTGAATGAATTCAAACCTTCACTATTCTCACTCCAAGTATCCTCATTATTATTTGTATCTTCTTTTGCTTGCGTAGGAACCAATCCATATCGCTGCAGCACCGCGTAGTGTCTAATCTGACTCTCAAGAAGACCATCCACGGCCAGCTCGTACGATTCCGCATCATAATTATCGAGGAGTTCCTGGCGCCTTCTCTTCTTAGTTTCAGCTCGAGTTTCTGGAATGATCTCTGTTGTCTCTTCCGTACCAGACAGTGTCTCCGAAGACAGTCTATCGTCTTCCGATCCCTCGAGTGTAGCCACGGTTTGTTTCTCAGAGCTAGTGATAGGCGGACTCATGCTATCTATGTGTTCTACGCGCATTCTATAATCTCTGTACCATTCTTCTGGTCTTTGGGCTTCAATTTGATGATTGATGTCCATGAGAAGTCCGAGATCGACAAATAGCGCATTGGTGGTAGATGTCGTGTGATTCGGCTCCATAATAAATCAAGTTGATGAAAGATTTCTTGATCTTAGGTTCTGTACTTTAATCGATTAAATTGATACAAACCGAAGTATTTGCTGTCGCGGTTCATACGCAGAAGGAAAGCAAGGAGTTTAAGTTGATTAGGAGCCCCTATGAATAGGGATACTCGGTTGACTCATAAAGTGGTTTGATTTTAGTGAATTGATGAAAATAACACCACAATGTGAGTGATGCTCAACATTGACACCACTGGAAATATATATTGACAATGAAATTGATCACACGCAATGCAATTGAATTGGACTCAAATTTCTAGACTTGAATAGAGTACAAGCGCCTGTGCAAATAAACATCCTCCGAAGTCACCAAGAATATTGTAGTGTGGAAAGAATTCGCACCACCGTACAGATAAAGCATCTCTAGCAAATACACCCATGCTAAGTCATGATAGCTCTTCTAGAACTTACCAATTATGATCTTAAAACTCCCACTCTCCTCACAATTGACGCTACATTCTTCGTACACAGTATATAAGTATCATAGACTTGACACGAAAATAAGCTTAACACTTTCCAGCGAATGACACATGAGTCCAATATATAGCTGCAGCTTTGCAGAACTCGAAAGCATAAAGTTACTCAAGCATCCATTCAAAGTAGGTGTAATCGAGAAACCTTTCAAGCATTAGCTCAAAATCATCCGCCTCTTTCAATATGTGGAATATCAATCTTATTCAATTTCATAGTATGAAATGAGAGGATAGGGTTCGTTGATCCCTCAATTGTTCGTCGAGAGACCATAAGCTCCTTCCTTTCTCTCATACCCTCTCTTGCCCCTCTTCTTATTCTTCTTATTTTTTCTCTTTACCATATCTTCCCCTTCCTCAACAGTTGTCTTTTTCATTTTTCCATCAAACGTAAGCTTATGAAGTTTGGCGGTTTGCTTTGACAACCCAAACAAATCGTGTAGTTCCTCTTCCTCTAATCTAGCCGCAGCCCTAATCTGATCCAAATTGGGATGTATCTCCTTCAATAATACTTCGAGGTACTCTTCAATATCTTCCTCCGGCTGTCTTCCATTCATGAATTCTTTCTCGGCTTCGACAATCACCTTTCTCTTCTCAATCATGGATATGCGACTCTCATCAACAGTCAACATTCCCAAAGTATCAACTAATTGCTGTGCCGTGTCAACATTGTGATCCAATCTTCACTTGAGCAACCAGCAGCTTCCATTCTTTTCAAATCTTTATACACATTTTTAATCAATTTTTCCGTGGCTTTCTCGAGTTCCAGTTGCGAATCGATTGCTGCACACAGCAGATGTGTGACGCGGCGTTCATCGTTGATTTGTTTTTCGATGCTCGACATTGTGCGATTGAGAAGTAGTTGAATCAAGCCAATCTGGTCGAAGAGGAGACTCAAGTATAGAATTGTTTGAGGATTGTCCGCCGCCTATCTTCGAGGTCTTCGAGGTCTCCGAGGGCCCACGCTTCTGCTATTCTTTGAATGCTTTGAGTTTCGGTGCTTGTGCCAAATGGAGAACTGTGGCTGCAAATAGGATACTAGTATAAAATCGTTTAAGGATGATTCGCTGCGTAAATTCTAGGATCTCCAAGTCCCAGGGCTCCGAGAGTTATCTCAGAATGAAGTGATTGCTTTCGAAACGTTTTATAATGGTGATTGAGAGAAGAAGAGCGTGTAGAAATGTATCAGGACTATCCGCTGCCGGTCTATGAACTCCTTGAACGCCTGAGTTTGTGCTATTATTCGAATTGTTTAGCCCTAATTTTTGTAAATGTATCCCAGTTGCGGTTTCAAAGTGTCAGAGTTCAATTACTCGCTGCTGATCTCGAAATTCCACTCACTTGCTTAAGTTTGTGGGATTTCTTCGAATGCTTTAGTTGTCAAAGTTTGTGCGAGCGTGACAATGGTGACAGGAAAGGGCACCAGAAAACGAAGTAAAGTAACCCGAATAAATTGCCAGAAAGGTTTTTTTGATGAGCATCTAGATGAATGAGTTGATGGGGTTGTGAAAAGTGTTGGGAGGGAAGGTCGACATCAAAATAAAGATTGAGAGTTCAAAAGTACAAAAATGGAAGGTACGAATGACTCTGGGTGTACACCACAAGATCTCAATCAACTTACAGACCTCGCACATGACTTCGTAAAGAATCTGGGTGCGTATAAGTTTGTTCAATGCCAAAGAAATTAGGGCAAAATGGATGCTGGGTATATGTTTTAATATAGTGGTTATCAAGGTTAAACCGAAGCTGTGCAAAATGTAGCAGCTCATGAGTTTGGTCAACTATAGCCCGCCACCCCCGAAACATATCGTCCAGTGCAATTTCTTGCGTAAAATTTTTCTTCAAGAGTGATATCTGTCGGTTAACTTGAAGAATCAAAGTTATTGTTTTGAGCATTATCAGAGCTGATAATTGGTTGCAGATTGATAGAACCCGAGTTCTCCTTTTGAAGGTTTAGCTGCTCTGTCGACTCTTTTGCTTCGGAATTTCTTTGCTCAAAATGATGCTTCATTATCAAATAGTACCTAGTAGTTATAGAACCACATGAGCGCTTTATAATTATTCAAGGCCTCATCCATCTTCCGCAGTAGTTGCCATACCGTCGCTTTTGGACCAAAGCCATCAATTCTCACCATGGACCTCATCAGAACCCGATGTTTCTTGGCCAAAAAAACTTTGAAATTTCGAGAGTATGTGTCTTCCTGTGAAGAATCCAAAGTTCAATCAAACTTCCTGTCTACTTCAAAAGCTGCTATATACTCATCGTTTGTTTGGGCCGTATTCAGGAGGCCTGGTACGATTTTCTTTATCTGCCTCTTCGTATGACTTTTTAGACCTTTTTGAGCAATTTTGTTTCTTCGCATAGCGACAATTAACATATAATGTAGCACTGTCCTGTGAACTCAGGAAATTGTCAGAGTTCAAGTAAGTTATACTGATGGACTTGAGCGATTCATTCATCAGTGGTCAAACTGGATAGCTACCAGCTCGCTTCATCATAAGGAACTCCACCCCAATTCAAGCCTTACCTACGCACCATATTGGGTATAGTATATTGAACGGCTTCATCTTAGTAACCTGTCTAATCCGTAAATTGACTTATAATGTTGCATCAGTCTTGTTTGAATCGAAATTTGCCCCTCATGGGTGACAATCTTGTCAGTACAGGAACCGGAGATTTGAGTTTTTGAGTGGTATTGGAATACAAATTTAGCTTTGGACTTTGGACTTTGGATAGTGAGCCAGTGATAGGTTCACTCAATGTAAATTAGAATCCAAGCAGTTGATGTTGGATGCCCGAGAAAGCATTGAAAGACCATATCACTGTTGCGCCGTAAGATTGCACAATGGGATCTCATTTTACATGGTGGATTTAATTTCTATTACACTAGGTATTGCAGAATAAATATCCAAAAGTCAGGCAGTTCTTTCTGTGTTACGAGTCAACCCTCCCATCCCAAGCATCCAGTACCCGTGATAGTATCTACGGAATGACGTTGTCGGATCTCCTCACTTGTGGTTAGTAAATGGACTTATATCGCTGGTATGAGCTTACCATATCATTGTTTTGTCCTAATTAGACTTTTCTTCAACCCATCCATTGGTCTTTGCTTTCTGCAAAGCCGAAATTTCAGCCTGTTTTTCTGAGATTTCGACTTTTGTTTCATCATTGTCTTTTTTGATTTGTAAAAGTGTCGACTCCTTATCGTTGTTCCTCTTCTCGAGGTTCAATGCAATCATCCCCAACCTTTTTATCTCGCTCTTAATGCCTTCGGATGTCTCATCCGATGCCTTTGCCTTAGAGGTCCTGATGGTCTGATTTGTCTTCATTTCGAAGTTGTTCTGGATTAACAATTAGATAAGCTAAAAAAAATCTCAAAGAGCAAATCTTACCAAGAACACTCGGGGAGAAAATTGTTTCAAGTGTGTATTGAGCTTCAATATTCGACGAGGTGAAGATATGTAAATGGTTATCTGGATCTTTTTTATGTATTAGCGACAACCTCTATCATAACTAAGGGCATATCATACTTGGTAACAACTGGCCGTGCTTGGTTCGACTATGTTGACTTGAATCGGGAAGTTATCTCAATTTGTGCAAGTTGTGCAAGTTGTGCAAGTTGTGACGTTCGGTGCTTGGATTCTTTGTATCTTGTCGTAGAACAGGAGAGGGCAGGGAGAAAGCAAAGGGTTTTGTGAAAAAGGTAAAGGAAATTGTGGAGGATTCATTTTACTTTCAGTCATGGTATGATGCTCTCAAGAATCATTTATGACTCTAAATTGGCTGAGTCATGACTGTTCATCGCGAAACGCTAGAATCCAGTCAAGCCTTCTACTGAGTGACAATACAGAGGTACAATAAGATGCACTCACTGTGACAAAAGATTCTACTTAGTGAGATTTGGATTTAGTTTCATCTGTGTGTTTAAAAACTATCAAAGCCATGCATAATTTTGCCCAAGATCGATTACCACTCCTCCAACTAGATATATCCCAGCTCACAAAGACCGCGCCCACTGCACCTATCTTCTCAGCTAACGTGCACTATTCAATTCCAGAACTCACACGGAGAGGGTATCAAGCAGTGCCTTCTTGTCTAAACCCTAGATGACTTGCTAACCTCACTGCCAATTCCAGTCTCTCCATTTGTCAACTAAATTATCATACCAATACCCAGAAAAGAGCTGACTTTGCCGAGCAATACTTGCTTGAGAAGCATCTTGGACTATGTTATTCAACAAAGCAGGTGTACTAGGCTCCCCAGCCAGAAAGTATGAGATGACTGCGCGTTGAATCTACATCTGTTGAATCTGGTGTAGTATGAAGCAGGAATAATAGTGCTGATGAGACGTGAAAAGTTCTGAGAAAGCTTTGCCGTGGTGGACGGCTTGGGTCGAACGACTTGGGTTGTTATGTAAGTACGAAGTGGCAGAAGTTCTTTGAGATTGTTGGATTATGTTTCGACGTGCGAGAAAAATCAATATCCAACATGAAGATGCAAATCTGGAGAAGTTGGGGACCATTACACGTTTCAGAGAATCATAAAACGGTACATGGATGATGAATTGTACGATAAAATTGAACAGTCATGGGTAGTCAGAAACTGCTATTATACTAGTCATAAGACCTTGCTGATCCATATTGTCTCCTCTCCAAGTTGAAGGCACCATTTACATCTCATCAGGCTGTGAAAAAAATCGTTTCCTCATGTCCAATGAGCGACAAGATTGAATCCCTGCCTGTACACCCTCATACGTCAACACCCAACTAGGACTGAGCTGCCACATCTTCATATTTTTCACGATTCGGATAATAGTATAAGGGCATCACACTAAGATGCCAATACTATGCTCTCCTCTCGTTCTGCTGACTTTGCTGGCACCACTGCGATATGATTCTTAAACTCCTGCAAGAGTTTTGAAAGGCAGATCAGTACCTATTCTTTGATCCCAGATCTTGTGGAGGAGATTATACGTACTGGTGAAGGCTTTGATTACCTTTGATGTGCCTCTTATGACTTTTCTCAGAACATCACAGCGCTTCTCTGTAGGTGCCACAACCGGGGCGTTACCCTGTAGCGTGTTGGGACATGAGTAAAGTCCATCCTTGATAGCTTCTTGGCTGCTTGTGTCGTTTGCAATCGAAGATGCCTCATAGGTCTGTGATAGATCTTCGCCGTTAATGGTAATGGTAGGAATAGACGAGTGAGTAGACATCATGAAGAATAAAGTGCGATATCGCGATATTTTGATAGGAGGGATCGACTCTGTAAGTGTTTGTGTGTATGTTTGTGTTTGTGCGAAAATTAGAATTCGGTCTTTTCGGCCAGGAGGACTTCGTGAATGGAATGGAGTAATTTCTTTTGAGTTATCTAGCTTAAGCGGTTGCTATTATTCATCAGGAAAAGCAGAACTATGATCAGTATTTCTCACTTGCTTCCAGATGAGTTGTAGTGATGCCATGAAATAAAATGAAGTCATTCATGATGTGCTACGGAGTAAACAAAAAGCTTCTGACATCACGAATACCAGATTGAATCTGCTTAGAAAGTGAATATCCCAGATGAGACTACCATTTCGAGTCATCTTCCTTCCCAGAGGATGACATGATCATCATTCATGTATCATGGATATGGCCATTAGTAGCAGAAGGAGACCTTAGAAAAACCGAGAAATTGCACAACCAACCTGGAGATCTTACTACTTAAAGCGTGTTGCGAACTCTTCCCTTCAAGCAACACTTCTACATATCTTGCAGAAAATATGTCATCCGCCCAAGTATCCGCAAAGTACAAGAAGTAGGGTTCTGCCACTGACTTATCCTGGAAACTTAAAGCTTCCATGAAGAACGGTAGCGATCTTATCACTAAGACTCCTCAAGAGCTTGTTATCCTAAGAGACTGAACCGAGATACATGTTGGTAAAAGTATTAAACAAGCTGGGAGTACTGTACCTGCTCACTGATCATGTGGAAAGAAAAAGATGAAGTTAAAAGCAACCTCGAATCTGCGAAAGAATACCGAGTATACAAGAAATCTTTAGAGAGATAAAAGACATTGTTAGAACAAATTATTGACAAATGTAGTAGGATTATCGACATGAAGAAATATCAAGATTCTAAGAGACGGATTAAGATTTGCACTCGCAAGAACTTCAATGTTAATATTCATCTATCGAAAGCTTTACACCTTGATTGGCCGATTTCTCTTGGAAAGAATCTTGAAACTCAGGTGATTGAGATAATATGATGTCTACATTACCTTCTCTCAAGCGAGGCTGAGGCAACGGTGGAGGAAAAATAGAATCTTCTTCGAGTCAGCAAAGTATAAGGAGATTTCAATGCCTACTTGCAAACATGAAGACAGGAAGGCAGGGGCAAATTTTTCGGGTCTCTCAACATCTTGAATCTTGTCTCGTGTATCTTTCCTTCCTAGTTTATTTTGTTCAAGGGTAGTAATGGTTGCAGGCGATGGACAAGGTGCATAAAACAATACCAACGTGACTTTTGATCACTTAGGCTAATGTGCCTAAGTGATTCAAAGGACACAATTTAGAAGTACGTTCATTCGGAGATAGTATCTTCCGTGTCAATCACGAATAACAGCCATTTCCATTCACTCAAGGATTTGCTGCGTCTGACCTCCATTGACATTATTCAGGTATCGACGAGAATCATGCCGTATCGAAAGGAAATGTACAGAGTTTCTAGGCCCCCCTTATGTTAAAGTCATTCATCTTTCATCGCAATTCTGTTGTAAGATGTCCTCAATTCTTCGAATGGTAGAGATTCAAAAAGCACCACCAGCTCCACCGAAGCTTTCAGATCCCGAAAGTAAAGAAATACTGTCTGAGATATCACCTTACTAGACCCGCTCATTCTCAATTCTTCTTTTATCGCCATCAAGATGATACCCGTTCCGAATCCTATGCAAGGCTCAATCAAATTAACTAAAAATACCGAGCTTGCCTTCAACATCGAGGCTAGATCCAGAAATGCCAGCGGCAAAGCATCAGAGACAGATACAATAGAAGGCATTGATATCTTCTCTTTGCTATCAAGGAGATGCGATCAGTACATTGAGAGCTTCGACAGGGCAACCGAGGCCGAACAAGCCAGAAACATGGCGTCTCTAAAGCAGGCCAAGGATGAGCTTGTGCGCACTCTTGAGATCTTAGAGCAAAAACTACAGCTTTCAAAGGTCTCAAAGAAGCAGGAAGCTCCGAATGAGAAGATAGTAGGTATCATCAAGGGCGGAATATCCTGGCAGCAAGATAATTTGCACAAAGAGAACAATGACCGCTGCAAGAAGAATTCAAATCTGCCATCCAACTTTTATCAGAGTTCGGGAGACTCCGGCCTGGATCGCATTGAAGGTATGCGCTAAAATTCTTATATGGCCGGAAAACCTGGCTGATACGTTTGAACCTCACTAATATGATTAGAATCAACAAAAGTTGGACCCAAAGAGCCAAAATACACACCAGAAAAAATTGCAGAATTTGCAAAATTGGGTCTGCATCTAGGGCACTATAGGCTGGGGCGAGATTAGATCGGAGAATAATGAAACTCTAAATTGGTGGGAGTATCAAAGTGTGGATGTCGGGGCTGAATATGCTGGCATGATACTAAAGGTACTTCGAACAGACCTTGATACCACGAAGATAGTTGCAGATATAATTTTATTGTAGCTTTCATCAGACTTGACGTCCAAGTCAATCATATTAAAAGTATCAGAAGTCAATATTCATTCTTGAACTAGCGCCTACTGGTGTCCAATCTTTAATTCACAGCACTAGCTGATCCTGCACATAAGGTTTCAAGATCCCCCATTATTAGACCCTCGCACAACTCGTCCACGACTGAATTCTTCTTGCTAAATACTTCAAGAACATAAATATGAGCACACCCGTGCTCTATAGACTGCGAGCCCATGACCTATATCACACCTCTCGCGAATTACTCGCTCCATAACAGCTATTCAATATGTCCAAGTGACACCAAGAGAAAGATCAAGGAGTTCGGAAGAACTTGATCCCGATGAATAACCTTATTGGCAAAGCAAAACATTCTATACTGATGCCCAAGTAAGTACCATAACCCTCTCACTCGAACTATAGCGCATGCCATAGCCGAAGGATTTTATATCTGCCACTGGGTGCTCCTCATACTTTTCGGACGTTGTGATAAGCATGAAACCCCAAACACGTACTTGGACGATGATTGGCGGACATCACTATACCGAGTTACCGAAGGTAGGACGGGTGGGGGATGTTACACGTGATGTTCTCCAGAGATTCAATATATATATTTAGCAGCTGGAGAAACTTTTGTGTTTTAGATTGTATGATTCTTTTTTAACTTCACGATAAGGTCTAGGGCCTTTTTCAGTGATAGAAACTCCTAGAAACGCGATATTGGTTACTGATATTCCTACCATGACCGAGAAGGATTCTACTACCCCGCGTTACGACCCCTCAATCTACGATACCCCTTTCTCAAAATTACCAAACTCCAAAAGAGTATGGATAGGGGAGCCTGGATCTGCTCTTGAAGGGATAGGTAAGAATCTCTTCACCTTTCTGGACCATATATAACCTGACAACCCTCATAAGTCGCCTATCCCTTCTCACACCCGAAATAGTCTCTTCGGCGGCAACTTCAGAGATCAAGACGGGTAAGAGAGTAGGTCTCGGATGGGACATGACAAAATTGGAGTATTCCCAATTTGGACGACAGAAATGTGGACATAAGATTATTCCACTGAATGGACCAGGCGGGAGTGGATATGGAGCTTGTTTTGATGATGTCTATCATATGAATCCCCGTAGGTCATTGCAATGCCTCTTGTTAGTTTGGATGTCGTTAGCATGTCTTTAAGAATCTATCAATCGGAGATTTCTTGCTCTGAGATTCTCAATTAGATGATGGGCAAGCATCTATCTGAAAGAGGCAGGTTAAACCCACGATTTGTTGCTACCTAGTATATTTACCTCGAGTTCTGCCGGTTGAAATCATGACAAAATCAAGTCACATCTCCACAAGACATATAACACTACAGCTTTCAATCGATTTTAGGATTTTACATATTTTGAATATCATACAAGCATTGGCTGACCTATAACACAAGAACAAAGCAGTCAATGGGATGGCTTTCGTCACTACTCCCAGCCACGAAATACTTCCGATCCCTCTACATCACAGGACCGAGTGTTCTATGGCGGCACTACGAAGGATGAAATTATGGATACATCGAGTCACCGTATCGGGCTCCAACACTGGGCACCTGAAGGAATTGCCGGTTTGTCTTCACAGTTCCTACTTCACCGTTTCATCTCGCATCTTCATAACGCTCACAATCACATCCAGGCCGTGGTATTTTAATCGACTACGCTCACTGGTGCGCCCAACAATCTCCACCCATCAAGTACACCAACTTTTCTCTTCACAATATCCCGTTCGAAACGCTCGTCGCGATTCTCGCCGATCAAAATATAACCCCTCAACATGGTGATATTCTCTTTATCCGCATGGGTCTAATTCCGGAATGGGATAGCTTCACCGAACCTCAAAAACAAGAATATGCATCCCAAAGTACCCCCGAACATGCTGGTGTCGAACCTAGCTTCGAGTTATTGGAGTGGTTATGGGATAGTGGAATATCAGCTGTGGCAGGCGATGCTATAAGCTGGGAGGTATATCCTACACAGGGAGAGCTTAGCTGTCATGAGTATTTGCTCGGAGGATGGGGAATGCCAATTGGTAAGTCTTTTACCTGGATTTTTGAGTTCTCTTTGAACTTGATTTTTATCCAATTTTCATTCGCTTTCATGCGCCTGGCTTCGTATGTCACATAGATAGCTGGCGCGCAACTCGAAATTCTTCCAGTTTAACAATCATGCCTTCTAACTGATCACTCACATAGGTGAAATATTCGATCTTGAGGCCTTGTCTCGTACCTGTCGCGAACTAAATAGATATTCCTTCTTCCTAACATCGATGCCATTGAATATGCCAGGAGGGGTTTCTTCACCCCCAAATGCAATGGCCATCTTTTAGATGATGATTGAGAAATTGGAAAGGGCGGAAAAGACATATGCGACAGGGACAGGAGGCCAGAGAGGTTGAAAGAGATCTAAGGACTGTAAATATGACATATTGAGTTGGATACTGGTTAATAGTTGTGGAAATTGCTACACTGTAAAAAATCTGAACACAAAAGCTTGTTAGCCAATGTAAATCGAACGTTGCATTCCCTTTGGGACCTAGATCTTTGAAACCTATTATCAGTAAATCAACCTAACGCAACTCGGGCCAAGCCCACCGCTTTCTAACGACCCTCTAGCGACTCCTGCACCAATCATTCCCCGGAGAGAATGACCAGATTAGAAGACCATAGAGAATGTCAGACAGCGATGGACTTGGCCCAAGTTACGGGTCGACTTCATCAATCCCCAGGCTATCCAATGTAACTCCCTCACCCCGATCCCCCGAAGGAAACCGGAAGATTGGAAGTTGGCAAATTCCAACCAGAGGAACGATGAAATCAACCTAACGCAACTCTGACCCAAGCCAGCATCCCTTTACCTTTTGTTTCTGTTCTTTATCATCCCTCGCCCCCCGAAGGGAGCAAAGTCAAAAGACAGCCACAAAAGGTACAGGGATACTGGCTTGGGCCAGGGTTACGGGTCAAGGCTGCCAGATTTTCACCCCCCGATGCTGTTCATTATCATTCCTCGCTCCCCGAAGGAAGCGGAGTCAAAAGACAGCAACGGCAGAGTGAAGAACTGCAGCCTTTTCCTAGACGACTGTCTTTTCAACCAGGCCGCTTGATTCCCCGCCATAGCCGTTGAAACATCTTGGTCGATTCAATGCATCATCCCTCTTGACCCCCCCCGCCTTAGCCGCGCAAGCATCCTGCTCATTCTATTGAAACCCCTCGTTTGACAACAGCCCATATCCTCACGCTACCCATCCTGCTCCTTTTCAAATAATCCCCTCGAGCTCCGGCTCAGCGGTTCAAATGATCCTTAACCGATCATCAACCAAGACTAAACAGCCCCAACCAAATACCGCCGTCCGTCATTTTGATCTCCCCGAAAGGAGATCAATCAGAATAGCAGGAAATGATCCGGAGTTGATAGCCTTGGTCTAATGAAGGGGTAAGAATACTTGAACTTAAGACACGGATCAAGGCAGAAGATCCTACTCATCAAGCGAAAATGGCGCGCGGACAGGTCACCGAATCATAACGCGGTGATCCAATAAAAACAAGAGAAGGCTTGAATGACCAAGGCGCTGAAATCAAAAGGTAATGATACAATGAAAGGAACAAAATGTTTGAACGGCTAAAACGCGGAAACCAAGGATGGCAGGTTGAATTCACAATCGCCCTACAAGGAAGAAAGAGAAAAAAAGTCGAAAAGGATGGAGGGAAGGCGGTCTATATATAGGCAAAAGGACTGAAATCTGTCAAACAGATCACCACGCTAGGAAATCAACCAAAGTGAATATGACGGCTGCCAAAAGATTTACTACGCCAATCAATGAACCAAAACCAGTCAGCAGACCGCATCAGCTTTCGGATTGTCTAGTGAATCGTACGAATGGACAAGGTTCAAGCTCAACATAATTTTAAACTTTAGAAAGACAAAGACTTTCTCACTTCGTTAGGAGATGAAAATTTTCACCTCATGAAACAACAGTTTATACCACCCATTGACCGTTCAAAATTCACTATTCAGTTTTGCTTGATTGATACAAAGTGAGTCTTATACCGTTGTGAGCATAGGTATATATATATATTTATCACTTACGCTAACGATGAAGATGTCAGATTGTATGCAACATGTGAACCAGCGAAACCTTCACGCAATCTATGACTTGCATATCGGAGACTTTTACTCGATCTACTTACTAGTTCCAAACGTTGAAACTAATGGACTGCACTTGTAATTTGATCTAACACTGCCCTAATACTACGCAATCAAGATCTTCATCTGGTGAATCCTGGATACGGCAATCTTCAAAGCTATCTCCGATCAGTCAAAAAGTTCATATTCAATAACTTCCAATCTTATTTATCGTACCAATTCCCCTCGGCCCTCGGTGTATTATTCGATTGTGACTAAGAAGAAAATGGCGCAACGAAGGTGAATATCTATTCTGGCTCCTATGATTGCTTCTTCTACCTCATCAAATGAGGCTAGAATCGACAGCCTGATGTTTCCTCTAACTTTGGCAGCCCAGTAATAAAAGTTCCATTTCAAAGATGATAGATCAGAGAGAAGAAAATTTACGAGCTCTCAACACTAGATAGATCAAGCCTTGCCTTGCAAGCTTGTAGAAATCATCAACGCCTTATCCCTCATATGTAGACGAGGTTCGAAGCCAAAATAATTAAAAATGATACGTGTACTTAGGATCACGCTTTGTTGTCATTCTCCAGTTCCTTCGAGCTTCCATCCTACCATTAACGCGCCCCCGAGCCTTCATTACCCTTGAGAGTTTCCTGAAGTTCAGCCCATCCTGTTGTGTTCCTGCTTTGATTGCGTTATTGCTTAGCTCTGTAAATAATGGCTGGGTCAAACAGGATTAATTCCTGTAGTACATGCGTGATTATAAGATAGGCTTGATTGGACATAAATGTAGGAACTATACATTCGATGTATCATAGCACCCTTTTGCCTTCTCTAATTGCATTACTGGAAATGTAAAACGACACTAAGATCAATATTTCACAGTCTCACAATCCGAAAACTCAAGAAATCAAGTATTCAAAGGTGTAAACTTTTATTTTCTTATGCCAATAGTTACATACTTGCTTTTGTATTTGCCCTATTTCATACGTAAGTACAACACGGCCAAATTCTTGCCTATTAGATGCCCATCGTCTTTCCCTTTTCTTGCCTCTCTCGCGCCTCGGCAGTCATCTCTCCCTCATAGATAGCAGACCCAACATGAAAGGCTTCTCCACGTACTGAACTGACATGGATGACAGAGCCCAAGTGAAAACCTATTTCACTTGCTCTTCGTGTCCCGTTTGCGCCCGAGTCATCAACCCGAAGATAACGGGAACCAAGTCTGACAAGTCTGTTTCTTGAATACTCGTTGATTATAGAGGGTTGACACTAACTCTCAAATTGGAAAGAAAAAGTTTAAACAACCAAAACGCCAAACAGATCCAGATGTATGAGCGTCCCTATCATGCAAGAAAAAGATATGTAACGCACTGTAAGCAATGCACCAAAATTAACTCCTTAGTATAGATGGATGACCCTAAGTTACCTCCCCAAGTCATGATGATTGTTTTGGTCGTTCGGAATTTCCATTGTCAGAAAGTCCAAATCTGAATATGAACTGTTTTTATGAAAGACCCTCAATGAATTGTATTTATTTGGCATGTCAAACTGACTTCCACTGGCCATTGATTTGAAAGCCGTTTTATTTTATAGCACTTCGTCTTCTTCGGTGATCCTGCCTACTCTCACTCCACCAGGACTGACTCTTTCGGGCCCTCTGAGTGGCTCTGGAGGTGGCTCGTCTATCATACAAGCGTTCTCAAGCATATTCGTCCATTTTCCACTTGTACCAGCATGACTATGTTTAAGATGTTGACGGAAATGATCCGCGCGGAAAAATTTCTTGGCATGGTTACATTCTCCAAACTTGTGCATGTCTTGTAAATGGGCACCCCTGAGGTCCCAATCCTCACCAGTCGCCACAGGCATCGGAGATCCCTCGTGATTCGCAACTCCAGTCCTTGGGAAATCTTCGCCACAGTATCCACAAGTATCCGCATCGTTGGGCCGTGAAGGAGAAGGATGGAAAGCATGCGCCCAATCTAGGAGAGCAGCACATGACCAAGAGTAACGACGGAGGTGCAAAGAATTCTGATGCCTTTCGGCCTCATTTTTATTCTTGAAACGATTTCGACAGTATAGGCATTCATACTGCTTTTCTTGTTCATGCGTGCTAAATTATGGTTAGTATCAACAAACAGTTAGATTTTGAGTGACACTAACTTGAGATCTTCCTGGGTGTCAAATTTCTTAGGTTTTTTGGGACAGCATTCACAAATGAAACCGCCTTGTCTACTAGGAGCACTATTGTGTTTCACGTGTCCTAATGCCTCTGGCATTTTTCGCGCATTAGTTAGAGGTCGACTTTCAGATAAAGCTCGATGATGGGTTGTTCTAGCCGAAATTGAACCTCTTGGGCTGGGATTTAGCGACATTGAACCATTATATGACATGTCGGTGTTGATATCCATGGGTCCAGGTGAGAGGCCTCCATGAGACAGCCTACTATACGAGCCCATGCTGGTCGCGCTACTAGCAGTCACTGATAATGTGGATGAGAATGAGTTCCTAGGTAAAGAAGTGGTAGATGATATAGACGTAGAGCTCGAATGAAAGCGCGGACTTGGTGTTGAGCGTGAGCCAGATTCGCGACGTCGTGCAAGATCGCTTGCACTGCCTACCGTGCGTAGTAGATGTAGACTGTCGTCCCTGGGAGGAGAAGATGCACGTCGTTTTTGCCCGGCTGTAGAGCAGGGAGAGTATCCTTCACTCCGACCATGATACTCTTCTTCTATCTGTAGTCGTCTCAGTCCCGTTTCTTCCATATGGAAGCCTTCTTCGTATTCTGGAGAAGGCATCTGGAAGCTATCCCTAGATTGGCTGGCGATACTTGATGCATCGTCGGCTATGCTCCCCGACCTCATGTTGTAAGGGTGTGGTGACCTTTCATTGTCTATTATATCGGTCGGTGACCTGAACTCAAATGTGTTCAAATTGCTAAGTCTGGGATATGGATTGCCTGGTGAGATGCCAGAAGATAAAGGCGAATCTGCCCATCGATTTATGGGACTCTCTGCAAGCGCCGGTTTGTGTGTATGGATTGGCAGAGAGAGTGGCTTGAGTGTAGGATGACCATGTTCCCGCGCTATTCTAGAGGTCGGTGATGCATCGTTTACAGATGAGCTGAACGGAGACTTCGCGAATGGTCTTGATGGTGTGAAATTATCTCCTCTGCTACCCAGCTTTTGTAATAATGAT